TGTGTTACGTTTAATAAGTGAGTCGTGTTTAAAAAATAATTTAAAATGTCTGTAATATATAAAACATATTTTAAATAATAAATTTTATTTAAATTATTCGTAAGATTATTTTATAAAATTTTTAATTTCTCATCGTAAACAAGTCAGGTTCGAGAGGGTGAGATAAAAGCATCATAAGAAGACCGTCAATGTTCGATCCCAACGTTAAAAAAATTATTGAATTATTTTAATTATAAAAAATAAAAATAAAGAAAGGTGATATATAAATCTAGCTCGTTTCGAGTTATTTTATAGTCTTGAAGTGCGCTTGGGCGTATTATGACACATTCATGGCTTTTTCGGGGGTGAGTTACTTGTTTTAGGTCAACTTTCAACACGTTCTCGGAGGTCTGGTAGTGAAATGTGTAGAATTGGTTCTTGAATTTTTAATATCATATCTAATAAGTAATTGATCGTTCGAACATTTTAAATTTTTTTGTATAGGTCGAACTAACTTTGACCGTAATTACTAAATAATATGTTCTCGTACTCGTTACATGGTGTTAATTTCACACTGATCTTATTAAAGAAGTGAGAAAACGCTTCGTGATGGGTCGAGACACGGTCGGTGTGTTCACGTCTCCCGACTCAACATTGAAGTGGTCTCGTGCGTAGAAACATAGGCCCACTACGGTTTAAGAAAAGCCCAAATTAAAAATATAAAATAATAATATAATGGATCAGAATATATATTTGTATTTTTTTCATTTTTATAATTCAGCAATTAAAAAAAAAAAAAAAAAAGAGAGGGTAAAAATCGACCGTTACCATGAAAACCGGTTTGGTTCGGTTTAGTTCAGATTTAGAAACCGAACCGGTTCAATAGTTGCAGTGACCAAATCATATTCCCTTGCCAAAACCCTAAACCCGCGAAGTCGATTCTTCAGTGTCTCTTATATCTTCAGTAGCTCAAATTTGTTGCTCCGGTGGATTTTCATTCAGACAAAAAAATTCAGCTATCTTTGCTGAATTCAGCAGCTTCCAATGGCTGCCGCCAAGTTCAACAAGAAGAAGGTTGTGAAACGGGACGACCTTCCATTGAAAGGGAAGAAGAAGGACGAGCTCTTCACACGTAAACGTTCTCAGGAGGAAGATGATGATTCTGAGATTTCGGATGGTATGGATATGGAAGAAGTAGAGAATGGAGTGCTTGATGGTGATGAGGAAGGATCGGAATCTGGTTCTGAAGTTTCTTCTGATGGTGATGATCCTTTGGCCGATGATTTCCTACAAGGAAGTGACGACGAAGGTGATTATTTTGCTCATAATTGTTTACCGAAAACTTTCGTGTTTTTCTTTCTAATTTGAATATTTATTGTAGAGAATGGTTCAGGCTCGGATTCAGGTTCTGATTCTGATGAAGACATCGAAAACAAGTCGAGAATCATCGATGAAGAGAGGGCGAGGGAAGAAAAAGATGCGGCGGATGAAATGCAGCTCAATATTAGAGAAGAATCCGATGAGTTCAGATTACCTACCAAGGAGGTAGCGGTTTCACCATGTTTAATTTATGTGATTTTGATTTCGATTGGTTTATAGTCTGTTGTTTCGCCAGGAACTTGAAGAAGAGGCGCTTGGACCTCCCGACCTTTCAAATTTACAAAGGCGTATAAGAGAGAGTATGCATTTTTCATTTGTTTTCTGCAATATTTGTTCCCATAGCTTCTCCTGTTCTTATGTTACCCCTTTGAATTGTAATTTTAGTTGTTCGAGTTCTTACGAATTTCAAGGCTTTGAGGCAGGAGGGAGCAACCCGTAAGGATTATGTTGAACAACTTAAGAAAGATCTTTGTTCATATTATGGGTATAACGAATTTCTTATTGGGGTGCTAGTTGAGGTAACCACCCATTCATGTTTATGTTCTTAGATGTGTTAATGTTGGGAGTAAAAGTTAATGATCAACACTTGTTGTCTTCAGATGTTTCCAGTTGTTGAGCTAATGGAACTTATTGAAGCCTTTGAAAAGCCTAGACCAATATGTTTGCGGACTAACACCTTAAAGGTAATTGCCATACAGGTTTCCCTCTTTTTCATTTGCCACTCATTATTATCTGAATCTTATCGAAATATTTCTCTAGACAAGAAGGCGGGATCTGGCAGATGTTCTGATTAACAGAGGTGTAAACCTCGATCCTTTAAGCAAGTGGTCAAAGGTAAGGTGCTTCGTTTCGGTGAAGTTATCCAACATTCTCTCTTTCTTTTTTTTATTTTTTATGATTAAGTAGTTATATTTCCTATACTGATTGCAGGTTGGACTTGTTGTATATGATTCCCAAGTGCCAATCGGAGCGACTCCGGAATATATGGCTGGTTTTTACATGGTAAACTGTGTACTAGTTCGATTATCTTTATGTACACTTCTTAGTCTAATTTAGGTAGTAAATAGTTATGTTTTGTATTGTACAGCTACAAGGTGCAAGCTCCTTTCTGCCCGTGATGGCCCTTGCTCCTCAGGAAAAAGAACGAATTATTGACATGGCGTAAGTGAATAAAGTAGTAGTGTAATGTCTTCTAACCAGTGTTACTTTATTGTGATCCGTTCTAAACTAATGAAAAGGATGGCATATCCTGCTAAGTTGGCTTATTTGAAATTTATTCTCTATCTCATATTCATGGCCATTGTCTATAATCTCAAGTTCTTATTTTACTCTTTGGTGAAATGAAGTGGCTGCTCGATTCCAGAAAGTAGCGACTAGAAATCCATTATATGTTACAGTAGTATTGTTAATATCAATGTAGTTGGATATCTGACACTTTATTTTATCGTCGTTCTCTCTTATAATTGTTTGAAACTATTGCAGGGCAGCACCTGGTGGTAAAACTACATACATAGCGGCACTTATGAAAAATAGTGGTATGTATTCCTAATTATGATATGTTGATATTTGTGTACATAGTGTAGTGGCTGAAGTACTCTATTGGCCATGTCGTTTTCAAATGTCTTTTCGTACAGTATAAATATTTTATTCTTATGAGAAACAAGAACTACATGAACTAGAAGATATTGCAAAAATAAATATAGAGTTGAGGTGTGCATGGATATAGTTTTCTTTTGTTAATTTTGACTAAAATGAAAGAAACTAATAGAAAAAAGTTATAGTAAATGCCTACGAGAACTAATCAATTGCGGGTCATAAACTATTTTTTAATAGAACTGGTTGGTTCAGTTCAAATCTAATTCAGTTATAGCTTTAAAACTGTTATGAAAATGGATGCTGCAAGTTCGTTCCATAGATAAATTTTTTGTAAAGAAATATCTGTGTGGTTGGCGCTCACTTGTGTGTGTTTGACTATTCTCACGAGACAACTGTGTGAGGAAACTTATAGGATGTTAAATTCTATATAGGTGGCCACCATGCTTTGAACTTTTCTTAAGGTCCTTTATTATTTACGTTGGACAAGTTCTTGGGTGTATTAGTATTAGGATTTTAGCTTCTCAAAGAAATTAAATTTTGTGAGGCTACAAATGATCAAATAAATGTAAAGAAGAGACTAGAGGAATCTAGTTTTTTCTTTTCTTTTTTGTTTTTGTATTGCATTCCGTTGTCTGCTATGATATGTGAACTAGCCTTAAGTTAATTTTTATCCAATTCTTATACTCAATAATTGTGTTCTTCGGGTCCATTCTGAATATTTTCTTCAGGACTAGACTTTGATTTTATGAATTTTCTTTTTGTGTTTAATATTTCGAGAATAGTATTACAAAATTATGAAAGTAGTTTATCTGATGCTCTGGTAAATGTTAGAGAAATGCAGCTGGTCATATGTATATTTTAGAAACGTCGAGTTGTTCATTACACCATGGCACGATCCTTCATTGTTGCATCACTAATCAACTTTTTGTTTCCTTTCTTTGTCAACATCGATGTAAAATTTTGTGCGCTCTGATTCGATTTGTTCATTAATTATTCAACCATCTCAGGACTAATATTTGCAAATGAGATGAAAGCACCAAGACTGAAGTCACTCACTGCAAATTTACAGCGGATGGGAGTGACAAATACTGTTGTCTGCAACTATGATGGGAAGGAGGTCTGATTATCACTATTCTCCACCACCACCACTATTTTCCAATTTATTATAATACATATGTTTTCAAATCATATTTCATATCATTATTTTGTGGAAATTAGTTGCTGCATGTTTGTGTCCTAAAGTTTCTTTCTATTTATCGTGCATTCTCTTTCAGCTCCCGAAAGTATTAGGCAAGAACACGGCCGATAGAGTTCTGTTAGATGCCCCTTGCAGTGGATCTGGAGTAAGTACTTGACATTCATTGGGCTCTTTATCCCTTGGAAGATCTTTTTGAACATGATTTTATTTTCATGTCTACAATGATTCCATTTTCTCTTCCATTTTTGTTCGATGAACCGAATCTTGGTTTTTTTGGTTAGGTTGTATCTAAGGACGAATCTGTTAAAACCTCAAAAAGCTTAGAAGAAATCCAGAAATGTGCTCAGTTGCAAAAGGTAGATCTGATCTTATGTGTTTTTGAGCGCTGACCCAACAAACATTCCGTTAATTACTGTTTACGTTATTGGTTCCATTTGACATAAGGCGATGTTCCTGTAAATCCTACTCTTTGTCCCTGTACAGCAACTTATACTCGCTGCAATCGACATGGTCGATTCAAATTCAAAATCTGGGGGATATGTTGTGTACTCCACATGCTCCATCATGGTTGATGAGGTTTGTATCAGTGCAGTCTGTTATTTTTCTTTTTCGATGCGATACTGGCTATTATTAATCGCTCGTTTGCGTTGTACAGAATGAAGCAGTTGTTGACTATGCACTTAAAAAGAGGGATGTGAAACTTGCGCCATGTGGCCTTGATTTTGGACGTCCCGGGTACTCCAACGTGCTTTTTTTTTCCAGATTTCAAACAGAAGTTACTCCCAGTATCCTTGTTCATACCCTCATTTAACCGATCAATTTTTGTTTCAAGGTTTATTCGGTTCAGGGAAAAACGTTTTCACCCATCTTTAGAGAAGACGAGACGTTTCTACCCCCACGTCCACAACATGGATGGATTTTTCGTGGCAAAGGTAGATTTCAACCTTAAAAAATTGATATAAGTCGAGCTCTCTCCTTCTCAATTCCATCGAATAGGATTGGCTTGGCTGGGATATCAGGAATTTACACCTTGGAACCACACGTACTCAACTTTGGGCGTTTTGATACTGACACACTCAGACATGCTCCACACACGTTAGAACACGTGGTTCAGAGCGTGCTGTCTTTTTCATGACGTCTATGGATATTCAGACTTTTGATTTAGAACACCTTGGAACGCACGTCCTCAACTTTCATTTAGCAGTTTTATTTTTTCTTTTTTTGGTATGTTGAACCATGATAGCCCATCATGCTCGTTGCTTGGAGGTCGACGTTCCAACTGCAGCGAGAAAGCTATAGTTTTATGATGTATTCCATTTGGCTTGTAATGTAGGGCCTTCTCTGAATTAATTTGCTTCCACTGTTATACAGTTGCAGAAAATGAGCAACAAGATTCCAACTGCTCAATCTTCAGAATTATTGGAAGAGACCGCGGAAGAAGATAGCGAGTCAGAGAAGAGCGGAAATGAAAAGGATGACGGCGAATGTCTCCACCCGAAAGTTAGCGACGGGAAAAAGAGGAAGAAGGTTTCGAAAAACCACGACGATGAAAATGGCGAAGAAGAATCCAAGCCGACTGTGGAAAAGAGGAAGAAGAGAAAATTTCCTTCAAGAGAGGAAATCTCAAAAGCTAGGTGAGAAAAAACTGGCTGATCATTCATAGCACATAGTCGTTTCGCCTCGAAAGCTTGTTCTTATAGCAATAGGGTTGTATTTTATGATTTTTACGGTTCGTTTCGAACTCTCTGCAGGGAGGAAAAACGACAAGCCTTGAGGGAGAAGAAAACTGGGAGCAAGAAAGAGTAAAACCCCGAAATCCAATCATTTGAGGTACATGTTAAGGATCATATAGTCGATATACGAGGTAAATAAAACTCTAAGAGAGATTTTTACGGTTCATTTCGAACTCTCTGTAGTGATGAAAAACGACAAGCTTCGAGGGATACGAAAACTGGGAGCAAGGAGGAGTAAAACCCATAATCCAATCATTTGAGGTACGTGTTAAGGATCGAATAGTCGATATACGAGATAAATCGAGCCTCTAGAAGCCTGATTCAACCGTGGAAAGAAAAATGTAGTTCTTGTATGAAATGTCCAATTTTGTTTGCTAAGGTTATTCATGTAGGATCTTATTGTCACACATTTACTTTATAATTTATATTTTTTATGATGAAATTTTCATTCTTTTATATAACCTATGATTTTGATGAATCCATGGTGTGCTCCCTTTTAACTTCCTTGAAATGCCAATTTGTTTATATGCCCTTGAAGTTTACAACTTTTGGATTTGTGGCATTTTTTTATTTATGGTTGAAGTGTATATATTTTTAAATATCTTCGAAATTGTGGATGTATATGTAAATTTCCTTAATTATGGGATATTTTTAGTTTTTTTTTTATGGAAAAATATTTGTTAGGATAATTTTGAAGAAAATTATTGAAAAATATTTTTAGCTATCTAAATCATTTTTTTTATAAGAGTAATTGATATTGATGCTATTGAAATTATATTTTTGCTATTTAAGGAATCTCGACTAAGATTCATGTAGCGATCTTGAAATGTGTAATTTAGTTAAGATATTATGCAATCGTTTATCGAGTATGGATATCGACTTAAGAGTCTAATCTAGTTAAGTTACTATGCATATGAATATCAACTTAAGAGTTAGACTCATTTAATTTTCAATATCAATGAGTAGAGAATGTGATGAATTTGTCACACGTTTGAGCCATTTCTTCGTCTGTTTTTTTCAAAGAGTATTGGGTAATTCGAAATTTTGAGTTAGTTGGGTTGGTGGCTCGAGAAATTCGAGTAGAATTCAGAACCCAACTAAACCCTTTGGGTTAGGTTGTCGTTATACTTATTCAAAATATATGTTACATTAATAATTAAAATAATTCAAATATCAAACATTTACCAGTTTCAAATATTAAACATTTACTGGTCTCAACACTTCACTATTATTGGTTATAAATGTCAACCTGCTAACCGATCCAAATCTTAGGTTTATAAAAAATGCAATCCAAACTAAAAATAATACGACTTTATGATTTGGGTTGGATAGTTCGGATTAGTCAAATTCTCAAGTCATATGAACACCCGTAAAAAATACCATGACTTTTTCTCCATTTTCCAAATAAGCCTCATATGTCAATAGAGAAACATACGAGCTGGAACTCTTATAACAACAAAAAAAAAGTGTCCGACAACAAAACTACATCTTTTAAAAATGAAAGAGGTCGCCAATAGCACTCTTATAACAACAAAAAAAATGGTCAGACAACAAACTACCTAGACATGTTTTTCTCAATTATTTTCGGTTAAGAGTTACTCATTCAAACGAGAGTTTGTCCATAAATTAATAACTTTTGACATCGACATAGACTAAACTCAACTGATATAAAACATGTACTCTCGAATGTTCGAACCTTCCACGGTCGATATTAGTAAATTAAAAATATAAATTGAGTCTCAAGAAAGTCAACAAAAAGAAGAGGGCAAATAAATCAACCTAGGATTCAGCCATTCTTCTCTACCGCTACACCTTGACTTCCCACATTTCCGCCATGTAAAAGCGACCCCTAAACCCCACTCTCTTGCATTTACAGGCCGAACCCATTTCCCCTTTCCCTCCCAATCCCCTAAATCATGTCTTTCAACAGAGAAAGAGATGACCCTCTTTCCTTCGCCGCCGCAAACCCATCTTCCTCTTCTTCTCCCGTCTCCGTTTCCGACCCTCGTGATACCTTTCTCTCCGACCCAAATTCCCACATCGGAAGTGCCTCCGGCAGCTTCCAAAATGAGGGTCTTCTCTCTGATTTCACTGCCAATATCAGTGATGCCGAGTTTGGATTCTCTCGCCCTGAGTTCCGCCAGAGCCCACTTGCTGGAACTGTGGATTTCTATGACCGCCATGTGTTTCTTTGTTACAAGAATCCTCAGGTTTGGCCTCCTAGGATTGAGGCTGCTGAGTTCGATCGCCTCCCTAGGTTGCTCTCTGCGGCTGTAATGTCGAGGAAGGGCGATATGAAGAAAGAAGTAGGTGTTTATGTTTAATGCCCATCAACTGTTTGTTGTTTTGTCTGCACTTTTGTCTCTTGGGTTCCTTTTAGTTTTAGCTTTGGAATTGGATTTGCTCTGTTCTTGGAGTGATTTGGAAATGTGGGTTTTGCAATGTAGTGGTTTTTGTGCTGTTTGAGATGATTTTCCTTGTGGTTAGTGCTGAATTGTTTGAAAAGAGGCATGGCAGCTCAGCATTTCAAACGTGTTCTTATAGTTAGGAATCACAAATATCCAACAATGGTACGATATGTTCACTTTGAGCATAAGCTCTCATGGCTTTGCTGGCTTCCTACGGATGGAGATGTATTCCTTACTTATGAACCCATGATCATTCTCTAAATTAGTCAATGTGGAACTCCCTCCCAACAATCCTCCCCTCGAACAAAGTACACCATAGAGCCTCCCTATGGAGCCCTCGAACAACCTCCCCTTAATTGAGGCTTGACTCCTTCTCTTGGAGCCCTCGAACAAAGTACACCCTTTGTTCAACACTTTCGTCACTTTTGACTACACCTTCGAGGCTAGCGATTTGTTTGTTCGACACTTGAGGATTCTATTGACATGGATAAATTAAAGGCATGTTAGAAATCACGACTCTCCACAATGATATGATATTGTTCACTTCAACGTGGGACTCCCTCCCAACAAAGTAAAGTAAGGAGTTCTTGTATGATTCCTAACACTTATCCCTCTTGTTTCCTCTCCCTATCCCTCTTGTTTCCTCATGAGAGCTTAGGAGGCAATTCTTGTGGGGGAAAATGCTGGCTTTTGCTCTAATGTTGTTTGTTTCTGATTTAGATCTGGCGGTTTACTGAATATATGAACCCATAATGGTTTTGAGCGTAGATTAGAAGAAAACAAAGAAGAAGGTTTGTAAATCAGAAAGCAAGAAACGAAAAGATTATCAAATGTGTGCTTTGTAATTTTGTTCTAGCTATGACAATATCTTTGTTGTGGTTAATGATCTTTTTGTTCCTGTGTTTAGCTAGATTTATCACTAACATAGTCAATTCCTCTTAGAATATGCATCCAAATGCTTCATATTTTTACTTCTCTATGTTCAACATTTGGTTTCTTCTGGAAACATTAGACCCGTTTAACAATATGTGAGGGGCACGACGGAACCGAGACATCGAATGGGGATGTTTTGATCTTCCCAGACATGATAAGATATAGGTCAGTTAGTTGTGCACCTATTTTCATTCTGATGAATTCCTTGCTTATCCTTTCCCGTGACGATGCAAACTCCCACTGTTTTTGAAAAAAATTGTAGGAGGTTGACCCATTTTGATGTTGACACATTTGTTGAAGAAGTTCTTGTGAAGAATGGTGAGTGGCAGCCTGGATCTCCTGAAGCATTGAAGGGTTCATATGTTTTTGTATGCTGTCATGGGTCCCGAGATCGTCGGTGTGGCGTTTGTGGTCCTACATTGGTCAGTCGGTTCCGAGATGAGATAAAATTTCTTGGTCTTCAAAATGAAGTATCTGTTAGACCATGCTCGCATATTGGAGGCCACAAGTATGCAGGAAATGTCATTATATTTAGATCAAATGCCAATGGAGATGTCAGTGGGCACTGGTATGGGAGAGTTATCTATCCTAAGTGATACTTCTGCTCAAATTTGATAACCGAACTTTGCTCGTAAACCCGTTACAATAACAAGACACGTCTCTCAATTTGTTTTCAGGTATGGATATGTTTCCCCTGAAGACGTGTTTTTATTGCTTCAGCAGCATATTGTGAGAGGGAACATTGTAGACGAACTTTGGAGGTATGTTCTTTCTTTGCACTGACAACTCTTATAAATGTTCGGCAAGTATCGTTTTAGATTAAATTTCGATAATTTTCACTCGGTTTATCTACCTTGCACTTAGTCATTTTTGCCTTCCATATTAGAACAAAAGCGTAAATTTTGCATTAAGTTATTTGATCTTTAGATATGGGTTTGTGCAGAGAACTAGGTGAACTTCTAATTCTGATGTGGTTTGTGAAAATGGTTAAATTACCGTTTTAGTTCGTAAGGACGTGACAAAGATTGGTGATGAGCTAGTGTCTTTCAAAACGTGTCATACAAGGAAATGGTTAACATCTAGTAGCGACGATGGGATAGTGTCTTTCAAAACATGTCATATAAGGAAATGGTTAACATCTAGTAGCGACGATGGACTAGTGTCTTTTGAAACATGCCATATAAGGAAATTGTTAACATCTAGTAGCGACAATGGGATAAGTGTCTTTCGAAACATGCCATATAAGGAAATGGTTAACATCTAGTAGCGACAATGGACTACTGTCTTTCGAAACGTGCCATATAAGGAAATGGTTAACATATGTAGCGATGACGGGATAGTGTCTTTCAAAACATGCCATATAAGGAAGTGGCTAACATCTAGTAGCGACGATTGGATAGCGTCTTTCAAAACATGTCATACAAGGAAATGGTTAACATCTAGTAGCGACGATGGGATAGTGTCTTTCAAAACGTGCCATACAAGGAAATGGTTAACATCTAGTAGCGACGATGGACTAGTGTCTTACGAAGCATGCCATATAAGGAAATGGTTAACACCTAGTAGCGACGATGGGACCGTGTCTTTCAAAACATACCATACAAGGAAATGGTTAACATCTAGTAGCGACGATGGGATAGTGTCTTTCAAAACGTGCCATACAAGGAAATGGTTAACATCTAGTAGCGACGATGGACTAGTGTCTTACGAAACATGCCATATAAGGAAATGGTTAACATCTAGTAGCGACGATGGGACAGTGTCTTTCAAAACATGCTATATAAGGAAATGGTTAACATCTAGTAGCGACGATGGGACAGTGTCTTTCAAAACATGCCATATAAGGAAATGGTTAACGTCTAGTAGCGACGTGAGATAGTGTCTTTCGAAACATGACATATAAGGAAATGGTTAACATCTAGTAGCGACAATGGGGTAGTGTCTTTCAAAACGTGCCATATAAGGAAATGGTTAACATCTAGTAGTGACAATGGGCTAGTATCTTTCAAAACGTGCCATATGAGGAAATGGTTAACATGTAGTAGCGACGATAGACTAGTATCTTTCAAAACGTGCTATATAAGGAAATGGTTAACATCTAGTAGCGACAATGGGCTAGTGTCTTTCAAAACGTGCCATACAAGGTGATTAACATCTAGTAGCAACGATGGGCTAGTGTCCTTCAAAACGTGTCATACAAGGACTTGGTTAACATCTAGTAGCCACGAACATATTTCGATAGACTTCTCCAAAATATAGGGATCAAAATGAAACTTTTAAAGCATTAGGAACCAAGTTTAAACGGATCGGAGACTATAAAAAACAAAATGGTTAGACTAATTTACTATTGAACATTCAGTTCTAATCCTATATTGTAAATACTCACTTAGGGGCCAGATGGGTTTATCAGAGGAAGAACAGAAGCTGAGCCTAGAACGAAGACTTAGCATAATCAATGGTTCAAATGGCCCTAAAAGCAATGAAGAGCCGACACAAATCGAGACCAGTGATCCGAACTCCGATCACTATAGCTCTCGTGTCGATGTTGTAGCCTGCTGTCAGGGACGCGGAGATGGTTACTCCTCGTGCTGTCAGAATCCCAAACTCTCAGGAACAGTAATCGATTCAGATACAAACGACGACGTTCCTCCAAACGTCGCAACTGCAAAGAGCAGCAACAGAAAACTAACCTCACGAACCAATAGCAGCAAATCATCATCATCCCGTAAGGTTTGTGCAATGCCAACATGGCTCGAGAGCTGGGAACGCGAAGATACATACGCCGTTGCTGCTGTTATCTGTGCTGCTGTGTCGGTTGCTATTGCTTATCGCTGCTACAAGCAGCTATAAAAACATCAAGGGTGTAGAAACTTCGTGTTTAAATTTTGCTTGTGTTTGCATGATTTCGAGTCGCTCGTAGACGAGCGTAAGATATATGAACTTAGGATAATCTTTTTTGTTTTTCCTTTGGAGATCTTATCAACTTAATGTAAGTCAAGTCTCAGTGCAGATGAATGGAAAATTAAATTGAGTTCTTTATGTATAAATGGATAATTGTGTGTTTCAAGCTTCAACTAAGTAGACCCATTGTGTTTGTATTGTTTACTAGACCCATGAACTCGACTCTCCGAGGGCTCGTGGCTATTGCTCTTATAATCGATATTCAAACCGTTTATGAGGTACGACTTCGATCATTACGAGCCAAAACAGGTTCATTGATTCTATGAAATCTTGAATCGTTAGTTACGACACTTTTATTAATAAATTTTTAAAAATAAATAATTCGAACAAACTGAACTAATCTAACTATGAATTGGATTCATTGTTTAATAACACGATTGTTTGAGCCGAAAATGAGACAATTCACGAACAACCAACATTTATTGTGATATTCCGTGTCTTAATTTATAATTTTTTTAAAAAAAAAATTAATGTGCACATTTGAATTTTCCTATCAGAATTAAAAAAAAAAAATCATTTCTCTAATTTTAATATTTAAAAAAATCAAGACCAAAGTCTTTCTTTAGTACAATTATTATTTTAAAATTAATTTAATATTCCTCAACAAAAGTAGCTAATTGCACTAAAATACAAAAAATAAAAGTAGTTTAAGTTTAGTGGGCAAAAACTAATATTATTATATTACTAAATATCTAAATCGATTCGGGAGAATAGAGACGTTCACGAGTAAGGCGAAAATGACGTTTCTATCCTCATCTCCTTCATTTTATGCCCCTACGAAAGTTTTCATTTAATTTCGTAAGAATTAGGAATTTTTTTTGCAGAAAATTTACGGGTCAAGCTTTCTATTGTTTTTTTAAAAATAATTTTTTAAAAAACTATATTATTAAGTGGTAATTTCTAATATAATTTTCATTTTTATTAAAAAATTTACGCTAATATTTTAGAATTAGAAAAATAAAATGAATCAAAATTTAAAATATAAAAACTAAAATAATATTTAAACTTAATAAGAGGACATGTCAATTATCTCGTTTATATTATTTACCTGACATGTCTATATCGTCACATGGTTTAATTATTGCATATGAGCAACGGACACATTTGAATATCGTCACATGGTTAAAAGATTCATCTAAATGGTGAAAGTCTCAATTTTACTATTTTGTGGTTGCTTTGGAAAAATATGAAGATTCCCATTTATATTGTCAAATTACAATAATACCCTTTAAAAATATTCGTATTTTAAATAAAATAATATTACAATATTACCATTCAATTTTTATAGACATTTTAAAATAATTGATTTTTTTAGTTTTTTATTAAAAAATAGTTACTTTTTACTAATACTTTTTAAAATCCTAAAAAATAATTTTTAAAAATTTAATTTTGTTTTTAGGAATATTTCTTTTTTAAAAATGTGAAAATTATAATTAAGAAATTAAGAGAAACAACTCTAAAAGAATTTTAAAAAATTAAATTAAGTCTTGGAAGCTTAAAAAATAAATTAAAAAAATTATTTTAAAAAATAGACTAGAAATTCAAATTTTATTTAACGAGAATAAAAACAATAATTAAATATATATATATATATATATATATATATATATATATATAATGAAATTGTTATTAAATGGCTTACTTCAATTTTCTAACATAGTTTAATTAATTATTAATTGCAATAGTTAATTAAATTAGATATATTAATTACAGCAATTAATTAAATTTAGGGCTCAATAAATTGTCTTCCATTTTTTCCAATTTTTTTGTTTATATTATTTTTAATACATTTTAAGTTATTTTTATTCTTTTTCCAAAATTTTAAAAAAGACAAAAATTTAGATTTTTTTTCTTTTTAATTCATATAATTTTTTCGATAATATATTTTTATGTCACGACGTGTATAATCAACTAATATCAAATTCATCGAAACAATTTAAATATATTAAAACATGAAAAGACAAAATTACACCTCGTTCAATAAAAAAGGACAAACACATCATTCTGAAAAAAAAAAAATACAAGGTCGGTATTAAAGTCGATATATTTTTATATGTTTGTGGGACTCGATATTAGCCTAAAAGAGGAATCGACATTTTCTAGAAAAATCTCAAAAAAAAAAAAAAAATGTCTCACTTTTTTTCTTTTATGTTTTTATTCTTATTTTCTTTTTTAAAAATTATTATTTATCAATTTTGGAATATAGTGTGTTTAATTAATTATTAAAAATTTATATAATTATTTAGATATAACGTGTATAATTAATTTTATTAAATGAGGATAATTATTTAGATGGATTATCTTAAAATAGTTGAAATTAGCGGCGGAATTAAATAAAAATACTATTTATTTTTATTTAACACCAAAAATAGACATAAACATAGAATATCGACATCTTATTACACAATATTAAACACAAACACAGGCATCTTATTCCCAAATATCTTATTATGCAAAACAAAACACAAACACAAACATCTATCCCGAACATCTTAATATTCAACAATAAACACAGACAAAAATATCTTATTTTCGAACATCTTATTATTCAACAATAAACACAGACACAAACATCTTATTTTCGAACATCTTATTATTCAACAATAAACACAGACACAAACATCTTATTATACAATACCGAACACAAATATAGACATTTAATTCCCGATCATCTCATTACGCAACACTAAACACAAATACAGACATTTAATTTCCGACATCTTCTTTTGAAATATCATAAACAAAAACAATAGAGTATATAAATATTCAAAAACTATATAAATATGAAAAAAGTACACGCAATTATTCATTCTCATTTATTTCAGGGAGAGAGAGTTAGAGAGAGAAGAAACAAGGATGCCGTATACGTTGTTCGAGACCAGAGAAGGGCGGCAACGAGGAGGTTACAGAGCTTTTGCAGCGACGGTCATGGCTGGAATTGCCGTTATTTGGGGTTACAGAGCGGCGGAGATCCCGGCCGCCGGCGACCCTGGACGGTGGCCTTGGATCGGAATCTTCATCTCTGAGATTCTTTTTGGTCTGTACTGGATTTTAACTCAGTCTGTTCGTTGGCGTCTCACTTACAACTTCCCCTTCAAAGATCAACTCTCTCTAAGGTACTCGTCTCCCTCTCGGGTTCCTTCGGTGTTCGAGAAATTATTCGAGCAGGTCACTACAATTGTGTAAAAAGAATTACAAAATTAATTTATTTTTTTTCAAATAATTATTAATTATTCCAGCTAACACAATATTGAAAAAATTATAAAATTAATTTAAATTTGTATTCAATAAACGATCAAGTAAATAACATACTGCAATCCTCATTGTTAGATTGAATGGCACAATGACCTATATGGGTGACGACCTCATGTATTTATAGATGCGTATAATGAAGATTACATCCCAAATCTATGATTTGGTAACAAACCATAAAATCATAGATTTGGTAACAACCCTTCAAATCATAACAACTAGTAAATCTTAGACTATTTTACTATATACAGTTATGATCTATTTTAGGTTTAACACTCATAACCTCCTCGTTCAATAATTTAAAATATTTTTATTTTTTTATATCTTAATTAGATGAATTAATTTAATTTTGGAGAGTAAAATATTCTTTTTAATTAATTATTGTGGGCATAAACAAGGATAAAAGCATCAATTAATTTTGTGCTTTTTTTTGTTTATATATATATATATATATATATATATATATATATATATATATATATATTACTTATTATTATTGTTTTTGCTTGAAATAAAATGAGTATGTATGTATATATATATATGTATAACAAAATTATAATAAAACAAATATTTTGTGTGACTTAGTTTCCTTCTCTTATCTTCTTTCGATAAGCTTAGGGCTAAAATAATATTTATTTAAATAAATAATAAATTTAGGAGCCTAAAACGGCAATATCTATCTTTTACCAAAAAAATAAAATAAATAATAATAATAATAATAATAATAAAACAAATTTTACATGACTTACTTTATTTTCTTAATCTTCTTAAAAAAAAATGTAAATATATAAATTATTTTAGAATTAAGGGTATTTTTGAAATATTAATAAAAGTTTAAGGGTATTTTTGAAAGAAAAAAAAAAAGAATATTTTGGATTTTTTAAAAAATTTAAATTATTATTAAAAAATTTGAAAATTTAACTATATATATATATATATATTTTTTTTTTTGTTGAGAAAAATGGACTATTTTTATTAATTTGGTATTTAAATTTTCATGTATTTATTGGAATTGTTATTTTGTTATTTTGGGGTTATTGTATTTTCTTTAAATAAAATAAATAATGTTTTTTTTTTTGTTGAATTTTTTTTTGTTAAATGTTTCACAAATAACATTTATAGAGACTGAAACATCTAATGGGTGTGAGCTTCTCATTTCCATGGCGGAAATGGCTGGTTCTTGCACTGCAGGTACAGCGACGACCAATTACCAAATGTCGACATTTTCGTTTGCACCGCCGACCCCATTATCGAACCGCCGGTCTTGGTCATCAGCACCGTCTTATCCGCCATGGCCTACGATTACCCACCTGAGAAATTGGCCATTTATCTCTCCGATGATGGCGGCTCCGAGTTCACATTCTACGCTCTCATTGAAGCTTCAAATTTCTCCAAGCATTGGTTGCCCTTCTGTAGGAAGTTCAAGGTTGAGCCTAGGTCTCCGGAGGCCTACTTTTCTCTTGATTCTGCCCTGCATAATTGTTCTCAAGAGTGGATCCACATGAAGGTAGGCTATGGGTTGCTTTAATTTTCAGTAGTGGATGTAATTTTGTTGAATGGATTGTGTTCTTGACTTAATATATCAATGGTAGCGTTTAAGTTGAAACTCTTGATGGGTTGCACAGAAACTGTTCGATGAAATGAAGGAGAGAATTAACTCGGTGGTTGAAATGGGGAGAGTTCCTAAGGAGATAAGGGATCAAAATAAAGGTTTCTCTGAGTGGGATAATGGTGTAACAAAGCAAAATCATCAGTCCATTGTGAAGGTGATCTTGCTTCATTTCCTCAACACATGTTCATAAGGCGTTGCAAATTTTGTTGTACTAATTTTGTTGTACTGTTTCTTACTTGGCAGATAATATTTGATGGGAAGAATCATGATAATGTGGATATTGATGGATGTGTACTGCCAAAATTGGTGTACATGGCTCGTGAAAAGAGACCCCAGCAACCCCATCATTTTAAAGCTGGAGCTATGAATGCACTGGTAAGTTTTCCAACACCAGTTTCTCGTTGAGTTATCATTCATTTTGCCCTGTACAGTGATTTTTAAAGCTCATGATGCAAGAAAAAAACACGGATTTTTGCATAAAGGAAAGAGAAGAGTGTATAAAAAAAAAATACATAAAGGAAAGAAGGCATAGTCAAAGTAGGAATATGGAAAGAAGATAAAAAAAACCTTATATACAAGACATTTTGCGTTCGACGTGCCTTTTCAAGGTGAGGTGCTAGACGTGCGCCTATGTGCGTGCCTCAAGGCACCTTTCATACCACTGGTCCTGTAATTTGTGCGTGGTATTGGTTTTAATTAAGTTTCTATAATGTTACAAGTCACATTGTTGTCCTAGAACGTCTCTACTTTTCCTTAATCCGCACGTGTTTTCTTTGAACGTAATAGAAAGGGACAATGGGTTGATAATTGAACTTTGTGCATTTCCATGTTGTATTTGTAAGGAAACAATTAAAATCATACAAATGTGTTGCAGATAAGAGTATCCTCAGAGATAACTAATGCTCCCTTCATCCTAAACTTAGACTGTGACATGTACTCAAATAATCAAGACACAATAAAGGAGTTACTATGTTTCTTCCTGGATGGTAAAAGAAGCCAGGACATTGCATTTGTGCAATTCCCACAAGACTTCGACAATATTACAAAAAACAAGTTATATGGGCTGCCAGATCAAGTTATTAACGAGGTGAGAATCTATCTGAAATGTTATAGTAGATACTGTCTGCTTTAGCCTGTCACATATTGCCATCAGTCTCACGGTTTTAAGACGCGTTTTAAAAACTTTGAGGGGAAGTCCGAAAGGGAAAACCCAAAGAAGACAATATCTACTAATGGTGGGCTTGGTCTGTTACACAGTAAACGAACAAGTTGATGAAATAATATGTATGATCTTGTTGCAGATTGAACTAACTGGCATTGGTACCTATGGCACCGCCTTGTATTGCGGCACTGGATGTTTCCATCGAAGAGAAGCTCTCTGTGGGAAGAAGTACAGTGAAGATTTTAATGGATCAGTACATTTAGATGCGCAAACTAATAAAGAAGATCCAAAAACTATTAATGAATTGGAAGAAGCATGTAAGCTTCTTGTTGACTGCAACTTTGAGAACGGCTCTCAATGGGGAAAGGAGGTCTCTCTCTCTCTCTCTCTCTCTCTCTATATATATATATATATATATATATATATATACACATATATACATATGCATTGGAGATGGGATTAATATATGGGTGTGTCTCTAAAATGAGATTGATATTGAATTGCAGATGGGATTAGTATATGGGTGTCCAGTAGAAGATATTGTTACTGGGTTAACGATACAGTGCAGAGGTTGGAGATCGGTTTACTATAATCCGAAGAAACGAGCTTTTTTGGGGGTTGCACCGATTAGCTTGGATGTATATCTTGTTCAATTTAAAAGGTGGTCTGAAGGGATGTTTCAAATATTCTTGTCCAAGTATTGCCCCTTCATATATGGACATGGGAAGATCAAGTTTGGAGCTCAAATGGGATACTGTGTATATCTTTTATGGGCTCCACTTTCGCTACCAGTTTTGTATTATGCCACCGTTCCTGCTATTTGTCTGCTTCGAGGCATTCCCTTATTTCCGGAGGTATTTATTCTTAGTCTTATGTAGTTTTAATTGGTTGTGTTTATTCCCAGAGGTATCCTTCTGTTGATTGAACTAGAAACTAATAGGTTAGTTCCTGAGTTTTGAATTGCGATTCTCCATGTAGTCTCCATAACGGTCCAAGCCCACCGCTAGCAGATGTTGTCCTTTTTGGACTTCTCTTTTCGGGCTTCCCCTCAAAGTTTCTAAAACGCGTCTGTTAGGGAGAGGTTTCCACACTCTTATAAAGAATGCTTCGTTCTCCTCCCCAATCGATGTGGTATCTCACAATCCCACCTCCCTTTGGGGCCCACCATCTTTGCTTGCACACCGCCTAGTGTTCACCCCCTTCAGGGTGCAACGTCCTTGTTGGCACACTGCCTAGTGTCTGGCTCCCACAACTAGCAAATATTGTCCCCTTTGGGCTTTCCCTTTCACGCTTCCCTTCAAAGTTTTTAAAACGCATCTGCTAAGGAGAAGTTTCCACACCTTATAAAAAATGCTTCGTTCTCCTCCCCAACCGATGTGAGATCTCACATCCCCATTGTTGACATCATTAATTAAATAATGACGTGGAACACATTACGTCAAATACATGACAAAAAAGAAATGGACAACAGGGTTTATATACTTATTCTGGAAACTTCACTTGTAAAATGATAGTTTGGCATCTTTTAACTATAGGTTACAAGCTTATGGGCCATACCTTTTGCATACGTCTTTGTAACCAAAACCTGTTGGAGCATAGTTGAGACCATAACTTGTGGCAGCACACTCAAAGCTTGGTGGAACTTACAAAGAATGTTACTTTTCAGAAGCACCACTGCATTCTTCTTTAGCTTCATTGACACAATCATCAAGCAGCTTGGGCTCTCTCAAACTAAATTTGCTGTGACTGCTAAAGTGGCAGCTGAGGATGTGTCAAAGAGACATGAACAAGAGATCATAGAGTTTGGGAGCTCAGACATCATGTCCACTATGATAGCAACACTTGCAATGCTTAACCTTTTTGGCTTATTGCTGGGAATCAAGAACGTTGCTGCTTTGGATTTGGAGTCTTTTTACAAAGGTATGAACAAATTCATTCTACAAACTCTTGTTTGTGGGCTAATCGTTATGGCTAACTTGCCCACATATGAAGCCCTCTTCGTTCGTAAGGACAAGGGGCGTTTGCCGGCCTCAGTATTGTTCAGGTCCGTTGTTTTGGCTTTGTTGCCTTGTTTGTTGTTTGCATACTAAATAGTGACACTTTGTAGTAAGCTTATGCTGCTTTGTTGTGTAGACATTTTGAAATTTTATAGGTTTGATGTGTTTTAATTCAATGCTATGTTATAAAATAATGTATATTGTGCAAGAAAATCGTTAGTATACACTAACGAAAAGTACCTGTTGCGAAATTTAATTGAACTATATGAAGCAATAGAATTCATTGAAACTAGCTTCAAGTTCTAATAGACACTTTCTCGAAGCTTGATGTTAAGAAAAACGTCTTTCTCGTTTTATTCTCTTGCTTTGTTCACTAGAGATTATACTAACAGTAAAATGAAGACAAGAAAAAACTATAGCCCTCGAGTTGCAGAGAACAATTCAAATTGAAGCAATCTTTCTAGATTTGCTCTCCCTTACGTCTTGTTTCCTATTGTAACTGCTATTGTAGCACATGTGTGACCTAGCCCATTAAGGGCATGTGTACATTTGAAGTATTAGGTGAAGAACTGAGTTACGATCAATATTTTTCGATAATTTTATGATGAATGTTCAAATTCGATAAAATTCACACACGTGTTTAATTCAATGCTATATGTATATCATGCTAGAAAATCGTTAGTATACAATAACGAGAAGAACCCGTTGCAAAATTTAATTGAACTATATGAAGTAATAGAATTCGTTGAAGCTTCAGGTTTAAATAGACACTTTCTCCAAGTTTGATGTTAAGAAACGTCTTTCTCGATCTATTCTCTTTATTCACTGGAGATTATACCAACACAAAAATGAGGACAAATTTTTTTTTTGTAGCTCCCGAGTTGCAAAGAGCAATCCAAACGGAAGCAATCTTTCCAAAATTTGCTCCCTCTTACAGCCTTGCTTCCCATTGTTCTTGCCATTCTAGCACGTGTGTGGCCCAGCCTATAAAGGCATGTGTACACGACCTCACAACTCAAATCTAAACTCATTCAGAGCATTTGAAATATTAGGTGAAAAGCTGAATTACGATCAATATCTTTCAATATTTTATGATGGATGTTCAAATTCGATAAAATTCACACACGTATTTAATATAAAAACAATTCGAAATGGATTCTCTCCCAAAAGATTCGAGCCCAAACTTTAAGGATTAGAAGAATAATTTAATAAAAAAAAAGATACTCATATCTTGAAAAACATAATATAAAAACACAACCAAATCAAGAACATAAAAAAACATGTTTTTTTTTCTTTTTTGACAAAGATTTTCAAAATTAAAATGAATTGAGATACTATTTAATAATGTTCTTAAGGAACATGTTCTCGTGCTTGCATCACATCCCATGTCTTACATTTGAATAATATTAATGTTTGGAATGGGCATGTCTTGGACAAATATGAACACGGAATCTTTATTTTTCTAATCATTTTTTTTCTTTATCTTTCCAATAATTTAGTATTTTGTTTCAATGAATGGTCTATCATATTTGAATTTAATATCTTTCTGATTGATCGTTAACTTCTTTGAGACGTCTTTGATTGAGACGAAAACGATGATGGACCTAATAATAATGACATGAGATTGATATTCTAAACTAACACGCTATATGTCTCGTTATCCTTTTACCAAGTCAGGTCAACTCAAAGACTAACTAAAAATTAAATTCAAATCTCGTCGAGCAAAAATCAGATACCAAATAAAAATTAAATTGAAATTTTATCAATCAAAAGTGCTGGTCTTGAAATTGTAACGATCGACATTTTGTACACGGACTAATCAGAGTCATTACTTAAGAATAAAAATTTTAAAATTTTAAAACAAATAATATGCTTTTAAAAAAAAAAAGTAATGAACACTATGAGAAATTGAACGAACATACAGTAAAACAAAACAAGCTATTCTCCTCGTTATCGCTTTGAAAATATGATTTTTTTTATTTCTTATATTCTTTATAACTATACATACATAAGTCATCTATTGAACTTTTTTAGTCGTCAAGGAGTTTACCATCTTGATGGTATCACATATGTTTCTCTTTGTATTTTCTCTCTCTTGTTCTTCGTATTTTTCATCTAGATCAAGTATGTGAGTTATGTGATCTTAACATGTTTGTTCATGACTTGTTCTAGATATGGATCGTCTAGCTCGATTCCAACATGCACATAGAGATAGACCACTGAGCTCGTGTGCTAGTGTTCAGTTCCAACCGTCAATAATGACAAAAAAAACAAACACTTTTGAGTCCAATTTTAAACAAACTCCTTATTCGTTGAATCAATTGAGGCACATTGAACTTCAAAAGTCAAACTAGGACAAGAAAAAGTGGGTAGTTACCTAAATGAATCAATTGTCCGATCTAACTGAATCACATTGGATCGATTCAACTGAATTGCTTCTTCAACATGCAGTCAGTGCAACTTTGTAACAGTTCAAGCCCACTGTTAACAGATATTGTTTGCTTTGACCCGTTATGTATCGTCATCAGCCTCATGATTTTAAAACGCGTCTATTAGGGAGAGGTTTCTACACCATTATAAAAAATGTTACGCTCCTCTCTCCAACCGATGTGGGATCTCAAAAATTGTACTCGTCTATCCTACTCTCCGCATCATTTTCTCTAGCGATTTTCTCTCGTTTCAGTCTCGATAGCGTGCAAGGAACATCACACAGACGAAAGGACCTTTTTTTTGTCTTCATTTGTTTGGTCTTTGGTCTTTGTTTTTTTTTTTCTTTTTTCTTTTTTTTTTTTTAAATAGGAAACCAAAACAAAAAACGGTCATTGGAAGGCCCGATATCCTTTCATTCTTTATCTCATTATTTAGAATTTTGAGAAATTTTTTTTATTGAATATATAAATTATAGTATAAAAAAATTTAAAAATGGAAATTAATTTTTTACCGATATAATATTTGGAGAATATATTATTTAAAATATATCTTAGATATTATATCTTAATATCCCTTTCTTTTATAATATATTTTATTTTATTCTTAATATTTAATTAATTTATATTTTATTGGGAGGTATTAGTTGCTGGCTTATATCTCATTTAAAGGACATCAATATCCATGAGAATACACACCTTCCATCCCATTTCTATTTTTCATTCTTAACAAAACATTTACTTTAGATCTATCATTGCAATAAAAACGGTCTCATTTTCTTGTTCTACAACATCAACAATCTAACTACTAAGCAACCTTTAGCTTTACAATAGATTCATATTAATATCTCTCGATATTACTCAAAAACAAAATAGATCATATCATAGCTTCAATAATCATTTACTTCAATATCAATATCAGTAATCAACATTCACGAATAACTTACACTATATTCACACTATTATTTCTACGCCAAGAACTATTAATTTTCCGTATTTTGACGCTAATGAATCACAAGATTTTTTCTATTTGAGAGAATAAAAAAAACGAACAACAGAGAATAAAAATCAACGTATGAATAAGACAAATCAAACATTTTTTTTTTCTTTTAGAAAAAAAGTTAAACCAACAAGAAATTGTATAAAGAAATGGACTGAATCAAATCCAATCATCTCCCTTTTATCATTTTTGTTGTTCATACCTGAGGCATCCTTGTGTAATGGCTTGTTCTGCTCACTGCTCTGCCCCTGCCGCGGCTCACCTCTTCATCGCCTGGACATGCCCATGGCCTTAGCTTCTTGTTGATGCAAGTCTTTGGACACCACTCAATCAATCTTCAATCCTTCATTTCTCATTCCTGCATAATTTACATTGAAAAGGGTGGATGAAAACAAGCTTATTGCAAGTATAATGTAAGAAACCATTGAAGGGTGGTATATATTCATTGGTGGTTGGAGAGGAAGAGGGGAGAGACCATGGGGAGTGAAGGGTATTCTCCGTTGTTTGAGACGAAAGCACCGAAGGGGAGAGTTGTTTATAGGGTATTTGCAGCTTCCATTTTTGTGGGGATTTGTTTGATTTGGAGTTACAGAGTGAAGTTTGTAGGAGGAGGAGGAAGATGGGGTTGGCTTGGTTTGTTTGCTGCTGAGATATGGTTTGGGTTTTATTGGGTTATCACTCAGGCTCCTCGTTGGAATCCAATTCGTAGGCGCACCTTTAAACACAAGCTCTCACAAAGGTCTGCCTCTCTCTCTCTCTCTCTCTCTCTCTGTCTCCCTTAGTGATGTGTTTCTTCAAATGGGATATTGTTTGTGGAAGAGGCTTCCTTTCTTTCGTTCTCTCTCTCTCCCTTCGTTTCTCTTGGGTTTTTGTGATATTTGAATTGGGTTTTTGTTGTGGAAGAGGATCTCTCTCTATCTCTCCCAAAGGTTGCTTTTCTCTTGTGTTCTTTCACTTAGTTTAGATTCTACGGTGTTTGAAACTGTGAGATCCTTTGAAACAGTGACATCCTAGAAACTGTGAGATCCTACCCTGGTTGGAGAGGGGAACTATACATTCCTTATAAGGGTGTGGAAACCTCTCTCTAACAGAGACGCGTTTCAAAACCTTGAGAGAAAGCCTAAAAGGAAAAGCTCAAAGAGGACAGTATTTGTTAGCGGTGGGCTTGGACTGTTACAAATGGTATCAAGCTAGACACTGAGCAGTGTGCCAGCGAGGACGCTGGGTCCCCAAGGGGGTGGATTGTGAGATCCCACATCGATTTGAGAGGGGATCGAAACATTCCTTATAAGGGTGTAGAAACCTCTCTCTAACATATGATGTGGGAAAATCTTAAAGGAGAAGTCCGGAAGGGAAAGCCAAAGAGGACAATATCTACTAGTGGTTGACTTGGGCTGTTACAAATGATATCAGAGTCAGACACCGAATAGTGTGCCAACGAGGACATTGGGCCCCTAAGAGGGTGGATTGTGAGATCCCACATCGGTTGGAGAGGGGAACGAAACATTCCGGGTATAGAAACATCTCCCTAACAAACACATTTTAAAATCTTAAAGAAAGTCTAGAAGGAAAAACCTAAAAAAGACAATATCTACTAGCGGTGGGCTTGAACGGTTACCGAAACGGAAAAATGTTGTGAAACAAGCTCTCTCTTTCTCATCTTTGTTCCTCTTATTGGTTTTCTTTGATGTTTGGAGATGGGATATTGTTGTGGAATAGGCTCTCAGTTGGTTTATGCTTAGTTTGAAAAGGGGTATTGTTGATGACAGGCATGAGGGAGAGTTTCCAGGAGTGGACATATTTGTGTGCACAGCAGATCCGGAGATGGAGCCACCAGCAATGGTCATCAGCACAGTATTATCAGTCATGGCATACGATTACCTGCCTGAGAAGCTCAGCGTGTACCTCTCCGACGACGCAGGCTCCAAGCTCACCTACTATGCTCTCATGGAGGCCTCTCAATTTGCAAAGCACTGGATACCATTCTGCAAGAAGTTCAACATCCAGCCCAGGTCACCTGCAGCTTACTTTGCCTCACACACAGATCATCAGAGCAAAGAAGTGGACTTCATTCAGGTTATTTTACATCTAATAGCAACTTAACTATGGATCACAGAACACAACGCTATTAATGGCTACCTTTACCTGGATGGTTTCTTCTTTTGCAGACACTATACAAGGATATGGAGAATAGACTCAATTATGCAGTAAAACTAGGCCGGGTTCCTGACGAAATACAGTCGAGTAGCAAAGGATTTTCCCAATGGGAATCCTATGCATCTCGTAAAGACCACGATACATTCCTTCAGGTAACATCTGTTGCTTGGACCTTACAAACATCTTCCTTGAATGTTTGCATAGTCTTTCTAATATTTGATTCTCTATTCTCAACATCCCAGATAGTCATAGATGGCAGAGATCCAAAAGCTAAGGACGTTGAAGGGTCCGTGTTACCAACTTTGGTGTATTTGGCTCGTGAGAAGAGACCTCGATATTTCCATAACTTCAAGGCTGGAGCCATGAATGCCTTGGTAATAATCTACTTGAATATGTAAAGATATAAAGACACAGCCTAATCTATAACCTCCACAGAAGCCGACATCGATCGAGAATACTAAAATAGCACCTAATATCAAGCTAATGCACCGATTATCCGCACATTTGATGTAAGTACCTAACCTGGTTGTCATTGGTTCCATTTTCAGCTTAGGGTCTCATCACAGATCAGCAATGGGCAAATCATACTCAATGTAGACTGTGATATGTATTCAAACAACTCTGATGCCATAAGAGATGCACTTTGCTTCTTAATGGATGAAGAAAAGGGTCATGAGATTGCATATGTGCAGTTTCCACAATTGTTTGATAACATAACCAAGAATGAGATATATGCAAGTAGTTTACGGGTCATTAATGAGGTAAGTCGATATCGTCCAGAAAGTTCAAAATGTTTATAGTAACTTAGTTCCAGTAATGTAAATGATTTTGTCCTGTGAAGGTCGAACTGCCCGGTTTGGATAGTTTTGGAGGCCCTCTATATATTGGAACAGGCTGCTTTCATAGAAGAGATGTTCTATGTGGTAAAAAGTACAGCAAGGGATACAGAAATGATTGGAACAGTAAGGACTATAGGAACTCGGGAGACGATGTAAATGAACTCGAAGAAAAATCGAAGCATCTAGCAAGCTGTTCATATGAAGAGAACACTGAATGGGGAAAAGAGGTCAGTCTCTCCTTATATTACTACCTTCCTATCTCACATTTCTGAGGCTGATCATCAACTTTTAAATTGCAGATGGGTTTGAGATATGGATGTCCTGTAGAAGATGTTATAACCGGGTTGTCGATACAAAGCCAGGGATGGAAATCGGTTTACTACAATCCAGAGAGGGGAGCCTTCCTAGGTGTTGCACCAACCTCATTAATCCAGACACTAGTTCAACACAAGCGATGGTCGGAAGGTGACCTCCAAATTCTTCTTTCAAGGTACAGTCCCACACGGTATGCTCGTGGAAAGATCAGCCTAGGCCTACGAATGGGATATTGTACCTATTGTCTCTGGGCTGTTAATTCCTTGGCAACATTATATTACTCCATCATCCCCTCACTTTATCTCCTCAGAGGCATTCCCTTGTTTCCCCAGGTACATAACTTTCCTGTCTCTCTTACACTTTATATGAACCGAAACTGTCGACCGACTTACCACTGAGCGGTGACTACTTTGTGTACTCAGGTTTCAAGCCCTTGGCTGATACCTTTCACATATGTGATATTTTCTAAGTATGCTGGTAGTTTGGTGGAGTATTTGTTGGCTGGAGGAACAACCTTGGGTTGGTGGAATGAACAGAGGATTTGGCTATACAAGAGAACAAGTTCCTATCTCTTTGCTCTTATCGATACGGTCTTGAAGACAATTGGATTGTCGGATTCAGCGTTTGTAATCACAGCTAAAGTGATCGATCAAGAAGCCTCGGAACGATATGAAAAGGAGATCATGGAATTTGGAGCTTCCTCTCCAATGTTTACTATAATAGCAACAGTTTCATTGGTTAATTTGCTGTGCTTTCTTGGGATGGTGAAGAAAGCAGTGGAGAGTGGAAGTGGTTTGGTTATGACCTTTCAAGCAATGGCTTTGCAGGTTGTTCTGTGTGGAACTCTGGTTGTAATCAATTGGCCTTTGTACGAAGGGCTTTTCTTTAGAACAGATAAGGGCAAGATACCAAGCTCCCTGACTATTAAATCCTTTACATTGGCCCTAGCCACTTGTATTTCCTTTTCATTGCTACTTTAATTGTTACCTTGAACTTTTCATTTCCTAAACTAATAAGATTCGGAAGATTTGGGTTTTATAGCTGCGTATTGTTCACTTTTTCTTTTCTTGGCTCCGTAAAACCGCTCCATTTTGATTGGTATATCATGAAAAAATCAAGTCATTTGCACCATGCGCATTGCGCTTTCCCTTGCCTAGATGTTCGCCTTTCCTAGTCTTGGAAAGGTGACCCGTCGAAGACGGGAGCCCTTTAACATGTTTACGAAGACCTCCTACTTACTTGCCCAAATGTTCGCCTTTCTCAGTCTTGGAAAGGTGACCCGCCAAAGACGGGAGCCCTTTAACATGTTTACGAACACCGCCTACTTATGTTCAGTCTTCAATTAGCTACCATCAAAGTCTCCTTAGCTTTTGCACTGCTTAGCAGCAGTCATAACCACTTCACCTACTTCATTGCCCCCAATCCTTTCTCGTACCTCTATTGAAACAAAATGGTTTCATGTTCCTTCATCGATTGGTTATTCCTCCCCGTTCATCCTCTTTTTCCAATTGCGGTCTCCCTTATATAAGAAAGGAAAATAGATTCTTGAGAACCCATTGGACGCTCATGTCACGTCGAGGTACTACAGAGGAAAGAAGTGCAAAATCAGAGCCATACTAGAATTGAAGAGTCGGGGGAAAAGCCTCTATAAGTTTGTGTAGTTTGTGTGTTATGGGAGAACTAAACCAGACATCAAATGTCTTTTCTTGGTGGGTCGTAGGTTCAAATCTTCCCTGTCGAGTAAATATTTATGTTATGGGAAAGGCTGTCTTCCAAGAAAAGAAAAGGTTGTAATACATTAATTATACCAGCCACAATTATACATCATGTCTAGTGCAAAGCTTTACAGCTCACACCAAAGGCAAAGACAGAATAGCAACTGTATCCTATAATAAAAAACCACCATATCAATCATATAAATATAATACATGTTTGTCTTCTTTACTTTTTCCTCCACAACAATAACACTCAGCTTTACATGAAATTGCATAAAATTTAGCAGGAACATCAGGGCTCCATGAAAAGTTCATCGTCTTTGAGAAGCCAAAGTAGCACAATTACAGAATAATATTGTTTTTCAACCAAGGCTTCTAAACGAATCCTTCTCAAGATTCAGCAGGGGGACTTTGGATACAGCAAAGCCATTTCTTCTGATAATCATCCACACGAGGGGGCAAAAAAGGCCAAATAAAACTTGTAAATACAATATGTAAGGTAACATTGCAGATTAATCATTTATGCAACAAGAACTGAGATCAAGTCATTACATTCGACCCGCCTACATTTATGCAACAAGAACCAGAGCCCTCTCAAAGATAAACAAAACTAGGAAATTCATGTTTCATGAACATAAAGTACTTAACAAGGTATATA